TCTGCAGCTTGTCCGGAGGGAAAGTCCCCCCCCCCCCACTCTTTTATTTCAATTAAATATTAAATAGAAATTTAAAAAAACAAAAAACTTTTCCCGTTCAATAATTTTTCATTCATGATACCCTAAAAGTTTTTTAAAAATCAGGAGCCCCCCCCTCCCCCCCCCCCCAACCCCATCCTCCCCCCCCCCCCCTTTCCCAAAAATAAACCCATTTAAAAAACCTACGTTCTTTTCTTTTAACAAGAAGTTATACTTTTATCTTTTTTTTTCCTTATTACTTTTTCGCCTCTTATCTTTGCAGCAATGTTATCGAAGACGAATAATATTGTTAACAGAAAATGAGAATTGTTTACAGAAAACTAGTATTGTATATAAAAAAAAACAATACACATTCATTAAAGAAAAATATGTATCACTCATGCAAAACAAGTATTGTTTGTAGAAAACAAATATTGTTTATAAAAATAAACCATAATTCTTTATAGACCCCAAGTGTTGTTTAATTATTATGGAAAAACAAGTATTGTTAGCATAAAATAAAGTACTGTTCAGAGAAAACAAGTGATTTTAATAGAAGACAGGTATTGTTTATAAACAAACGTGTATTGCTTATAAAAACGAGTATTGTTCACAAAAAAATTAAAATTTTTTATATGTAAAAGCAAGTATTGTTAATAAAACATAAACGTATAAACTAATAGAAAACAAGTATTGTATCAGACGACGAGTACGGGTTATGGAAAGCGAGTATTACTGGAGGCAGACAAATGTCTTGTCTGAGCAGGAATCACATCATAGAATCCAACTTTTGAGTTTTGACCTTGACGTGGACTTTGACCTTTCTTCTTGGCTTTTGACGCCGATGATGTCACTGAAACGTTACTGTAATGTCTCTCGCCAACCTCTGCTTGTGGGGTCATGTCCTGCAACGTCATCACAAAGTCCGAACCCATGTTCACGTGTTGTTTTTCCTTTTGCTGGCCTGTGGAGAGAAAAGATAATAACAATGCATAATATATAATGATAATATCATATCAAGAAGAAAAGCTAAACCCAGTAATATTATGTCAAAAATAAAAAGATATATCCGATAATACTATATTCATACGAAAATCTATACAAAATAGTAGTATATCAAAAAGAAAAGTTATAATAAATAATATTATTTTTGAAAGAAAAGCTATATCCAATAATATATAAAAGAGAAATATGTTTAAAAAAACCAAAAAAAACCAAGAAACGTTATTACCAATGATGTTATGTTAGAAAGACAAGCAAGCTAAACCCAGTACTATTATACTGTCAAAAAGAAAAGCTGTATCCAATATATAATAACATTACAAATAAAATATATAGCCAATAATATCACACCAAGAGGAAAATCTATACCCGATAAAGTTATATTAAAAAGCAAATCTATTTTCAATCATATGACATATAAAGGAAAATCTATACCCGATAAAATTATATTAAAAAGCAAATCTATTTTCAATCATATTACATATAATGGAAAATCTATACCCAATAATATTAATTTATAAAGAAAAGTAATACTCAATAAATATATAAAAAAAAAGAACAAATGCCCAATAATATTACATAAAAAGTCGTGCCCATTCTATTTTTAAAAAAATAAATAAATGCCATAACCAATAATAATTATATAATAAAGAAAAGCTACACACAATGATTATATTAAAAAGAATAGCTATACCCAATTATAGGATATAATATTATGTGGAGAGGAAATGCTGTTCCTGATGATATTCTGTCAAAAAGTAATAGAAAAACTGTACCCAATAAAATTACATCAAAAAGAAAAGGTATGATCAATGTTTTATATTTAAAAATAAAAGTTATAACCAATAATATTTTATTGAAAAGTAAGCTATACCCAACAATATCGTGGTAAAAAAAGAAATGTTATACCCAATAATATTATATAAAATAGGAAACAAAAAACAAAAAACCCAACTAGATCTGGACCCAAAAATATTACATGAAAAAACCCAAAATACATACCCACTATACTTTTTTTTAAAGCTATACCCAATCATTATATAAATAATAAAAGCTATGTCCAATAGCATTATATTCTAAACAAAAACTATACCAAAAAATATTATGTCAAAAAGAAAAGCCACACTAGATAATAATATCATAGTGTGATAAAATCAGGTTTTCATAACAATACTAAATTTTAAAAAATCGAGATTGTTCAACACTGGCGGGCAATTTTTATTGAGTTTACTTTGTTTTCTGCTGTTTTTGGCTTAGCACACCATTATGCTCATTTAAAAAGCCCATTCCGTCCGGGATTTTACAACAAATATCTAACCAAAGCTACCAATAATAAGGTACATAAAATGTGCACTTCCCGTGGACTCGACCAAATTCATAAAACTTTGGCGGTTATTTTGTTGCAAACTTAACCCTCGATACCACCCGTCGCACCCCCTTCAATGGCATAATACCAGTATATCTTAACTTCGATTCAAGAAAAAATGGTAAATACTGTAACAAATGCATTAAAAATAGAAAGGATATGAAAGAAGAAGAAGAAGAAGAAGAAGACGAAGAAGGAGAAGAAGAAGAAGAAAAAGAAGAAGAAGAAGAAGAAGAAGAAGAAGAAGAAGAAGAAGAAGAAGAAGAAGTAGATGAACGGAATGAGGTGAAGAAAGGGGGTGGAAGGTGGAGGGGGGAGGAGGAAAATCATTCTTGAGTGTACAGGACCATAACAACACATGTATTAATAATACATTTTATACCATACTTGGAGTTGTTTTAGCATTGCACTTCCGGTAAAATATATCCTTATATTTCACACGTGAAATATAGGATGGCTAAGCTGAAATCTCACATGTGAAGTATAGAAATTTGCATAAATTACTCCGTGCACTAGATCTATATTCGCCTTCTACTTCTATCCCTCTGAGCAGGCCATGCAAAGTAGCCTAGCCTAGTCCCAGTAAAAACTTTAAAACTTTGCTGCCAAGCGCACTCGTTGAAACTCATGATTACAACTTGGCAATTTCACTAGTAGGAAAAATCATGATCTTACACCACAACTCATATAATAAATTATTTTTATATTACTCTCCTTGAAATTCAATATGAAAAGAAAAGAAAACATGACAAAAAGTACATATCACATTGGATGAATCATTCAACTACATGCAAGAAATAAAATTACGAGAAAGATGCTTTTATAAAAGCAGTGTGTAAGATTGTACATTCTGTAAGTGGAGCAATTAGTCTCAAAAATCATAAACAGAAATACTCTTTTAATCATGTAAAGAAATGTTAACAACTCGTTTAGTAAAAGTTCAGAAAAAAACCCCTCCTCCTTCCTACATAAAAATCCGCAATATAAAAGCAAAACAATTGAAAAAACCCCAGCAAAATACAAATAATCAAAACGTACGTGTGTAGGTAGGTAGGTAGGTAGGTAGGTAGGTAGGTAGGTAGGTAGGTAGGTAGGTAAGTAGGTATATTTGTATGTGTGTATATAGGTATGTATACATGTATGTAAGTTGGTAAGTAGGCAGGTAGGTAGGTAGGTTTGTAGGCAAGAAAATAGGTAGGTACGTATGTACGTAGGTTGGCAGGTATGTAGGTAGATAGGTAGGTAGGCAGGCAGGTCCGTTTTGCTATGTTTTATTATGTTCAAGTCTGGCGTGTCCTCTCTCCGGTTCTCTTTATCACTTACCAGGATAAGATCACGAAAGCAGCAAAATATGGAAACATCATCGAACGGAACGAACTTCTATTTGCTGATGACCAGAGCATATTAAATACAGATGAAGAGGATTTACAAAAATACACCACAACACTAAAAGAGGAATGTAAACACCTGAACAAGAAAATCTCCATCTCAAAAGCAGAAGTTATGAAGGTCAGCAGAAACACAGAAAAACTCAAGATTTCTATTGATGGAACACGGCTCCAAGAAGTAGAGGAATTTAAATATTTGGGAAACATCTTCACACAAGATGTGCGTATGGACAAAGAAATAGAAACAAAAACTATGAAGGCAAATGCAGAGACCTACCAGCTAGCACCCCTGCGCAGTCACAAAAACATCCCAACCGAAGAGAAATCCCAGCTAGCTCATCAATAGCATCTTCATACCAAAATTAATATACCAGAGCCAAACATGGTCTTTAAGCAAGGTACAAGAAAGAAAAATCAATGCATGCGAAATTAGGCGTCTTCGCAAAAACCATCAACGTCTCCAGAAGAGACCGCATAAGAAACGAAACCACACGTCTACGAACTAGTGCTGGGCAGCTAGGTTCCCGATTATTGAAATGAAAGCTAGGAATCGTAGGAATCGACTCCGAACCCAATTACTTACTTTCTAACTATGTGATTTCTTCCGGTGGTTACCTAATTGGCTCCGAACGTCTTCAGGATATGGGATAGCCTTGATTTCGGAACACTACGAAGCATCAAATTTTATTTTTCAAAGATAAATTCTTTTTAAAAAAAGATCTCAACGACTAAAGTAACTGGTAAGTGTTGGTTTTCGTAAAAAGGAGTCGGAACTCCTCTTCCGTAGCATTCATTAATCGTGGGATTTGGTCCAGAATCAATTCTTCGCCCAGTTCTACTACGAACTGGAATACCAGCAGTAATAAAACTCAAAGAGCGTACGAGAATCTGATGGTTTGGATATCTGAACAAAATGCCCCAGAAACAACTAGCTGCTAGAGCTTACAACATCCCCAAGAAAGACCTGACCGGATGGGGTTAAAATGGTCCTGGAACAGCAGAATATATAAATAATATGTATATATCACAGACGCTACACCCCTAGCACACGACCTAAACTTGCACCTCCCCTCGACATTCTAAGGATATTAGAGGAAGGAAAAAGGAAAAATAAAGTATTATGTTCATGCGTGTATGCGTGTGTCTATGTGTGTGTGTGTGTGTGTGTGTGTGTGTGTGTGTGTGTACGCGCGTGTTTGTTTGTGTGTGTGTGTGTGTGTGTGTGT